ATTTATGATTGGAGGATTAATTTACTCAAGACAATTACCAAAGAACACACACTCAACCAGGCACTGCTAGTCTACTACTATATCCAGTAGAATATTAGAAATGCTGTAACAATCCTTTCTTGAATTTAAACATAGATTGCTATACCATACGATAGTATTTTTGCTCCTCCTATTCTTAGCATTAAATAGTTACAAAAATACTTTTTTTGTCCACTGGATAAAGCTAACTCCAATTTTAGTATTACATGTAAGTAGCTATGTCTGTTCATACTAACTGAAGAAATGAACCTCAACAGTGATACGCAAAAATACACTAGTTTATGATTATTTGGAATGATAAACCTTTACAATATCATTAAAAGACATGCTACGCCATTGATTTTCACTTACAATTAGAACCCAGTGTTGACTGCGTTATTGCTAACATGTATTGCATCTCTAAACTACATATAAACCCAACAAAATTCAGATGTATAACGGGTGCTTCTAATAGCAGTAACAAACCTTTATCGAAAGAACGAGCATTTTAGGTTTAATCAAAACTATCACAAAAATTATGTGAATATAGTGTACATCAATAAAAACTGCTTACCAACATATGGTCTATTGATGACAACATCTCATACATGCTCATCATAGTAGATTGCGATTTCAAACTCTGTTGTTCAACTCATGCTTACTAAGATTGCACACAATATTATCTTGAAAAATATAGACAAAAATCTCAAGATTTGCTTCAGAAATATCAATAGCAGATATATTGTTAGTAAACAAAAGTTTTTACTCCAACATTCCGCTAGATAGAATAAATTCAAGAATATGAAAGAAGTTATGATGTTTCTTGCACAATTTCTCCTAAAAGATAGCTATATTGTAAAATTGGTGACCACATCTTCAAACAAAAAAGGATGTCCCGCAAGGTAGCAGCGTTAGTTTAATATTTACAAATTTCACTTTGTCATATATAGAATATTTTTATGCTTCTAGCTATCAAAATTCTTTGACTATTCTTTCAAATACATGGATGACTTACTTGTATTACGAAAGGTGGAAATCGAAGATGAAAGTAATACTACAGATTACAAAAATATTCTAGGAGTAAAAAGTACAAACCATCACACCTCTGAATGTGACTTTCTAGACTTGAAAATATGTATATCCGATGACAAAATTATTAACACTCAGTATATTGAAACGGACCACTTCGATTGCAAAGCCAACGAAGCTACTCAATCTAGATCATATCAGACTCAAAGAAGTTGCTATTATTTGGTTTCAAAACCTGCACAAAATCTGGGAATTTTGTTCAAGGACTAAAATTACTTTTAAACTAACTTTCTTCCTTGCGATACACTCCTGATATCAATTCTGAAGCCATGAACAAATGTTTTAGTGCCAATAAATGCACATCATATAAGTACTTGAGCCTTCAGTCATTCAAAAATACAAATAAATTGTTCGCAAAAATGTTCGAAAAGTTAAACAACAGCTAATCTGTACTATGACCTATTTGCTCTACCCCGCAAGTATAAATATTATCCTATGACATATCCTCCTCATTATACCACTCTTTCCTACTATTAGATCCAGGAGTGGTTAACAATATAGGTAACCTGTGTAGGGCATAGGCAAAACAGACATAACGACCCCCTAAAATTATTACTCACTAGTTACTCTTACACAGCTTTTGGTAAGCTCTTGAACATAGAATTGCTAACGTGCCTCTTGCTCCTTGATTTAGCATTCACGATTGCCTTCACATCTTTTATATTAATTCGTTGCTAAATCTTGAGATACGAACTGTAATGCCAAATCACCCAGATTAGGTATAAAATAAGTAACTTGTGGCTTGCTCATGCGATGATTTTTTTGATATCACTCCAATGTTGATATCATTGATCTCGAATGCTAAAGCATAAAGCGAAGGCAACAGTCTAGACTGCAATCTCATTATGTCCTTTTTTCGTTTACATTCTTAGCAAGAGTAGAGTGGGCTGAAGCACTCGTTGTTTTATGTTTTTCAAGCGAAGTAGGCGACGCTTGTTACCATGAACAGCGGAAGGACGAATTACTTTTGAGAGGGTATCAACATACAACTTGTGTCTTCTTTCGGCTCATTAATCTTCCCCTAAAGGCTGAGTCTCAAAATTGGCGCACTGTCAGATATAGCTGTGGTGGGGTTGGCCCTCGAACCGGCACGCTCTCAAACGCCTTCGCTTACCTGTTCGGTGCGGGACCTCACCACCGCTCTCGCTTATGCATGCTATCCAAAACAAAAATTACAGGCGGCATCGCTTTTCTTCGTGCCAGAGTCCTTTTGGAAATTAGGTAAACGCTCCAAAACGCCGCCTCGCCCAATTCAAAGCTCAAATTCTTCCTACATGTTAAAAAGGTCCAAAACATGCAGAAGGGTGGAAATGCAAGATCTGTCGTCGGGACATTGGCTTATGTATAGTCTTTGTTTTGCCATGTGCAAAGCAACTGCTTCTTCAAAATCATATCTGAATGTTAGCGTTACGGCGTGTGTGTTATTAGCAAGCTAGGTGATCGGAGGCTTTGTCAATCAGAAGAGACTGTTGATATGAAAGGAATGCATGGTGGCGTGAATTTGACGCCTTAGTCGCTAGTACGATTGTGGAGGAAGCGTACAGGTAGAGGTGCGCTTGCAATGTCTGCTTGAATGTGTTGGAAATCTAGAGTAGTATCAATAGAAAAGATGTGACGAAACCTCATTTTTTTCTTGGTCAAAAAAGAATGATGTCCATGTCGTAGGCTGGTCAAAAATGTTTGACTCTCCTCTCTTTTCCCCTTATATTCTAGTGTACGTGATTTTCCTTCAGGTTCCAATGCAGCAAACAGCTATAATTGATGGTTACTTTGTCCTTTGTGTGATAGTTGTTTTGTTCGATTTGTCTGCATGGCTCGTAGTGGGATACATGTCTTAGATACATCTGGACACGAAAGGTTAATCTCAAAAATTGTCAAAAAATCTTATTTTGATAATTTTAAAGGTCCACAGGTCCATATGAAAATGTCACGAAAGTGTTCCTCAAGGCAGTAAACTTGCCCATGCGATCACCCACACCAACAGCCTTTGTGGTGGACGGGACTTGATGCAACCAATCAAAACGTAATTGAAAGAGGGGAGTCGTTTCAGTGGTAAATACTTTCAAATCAAATTTTACCTGGACTGCACCTCAGAAATTAAAAGGAAATTGCCGTAACACATACTTAAAGCTATCCACATTTTTGCAATGTTCCCTTACTACATACTATGTATGTAGTAAGGGAACATTGCATATGTACTACATACTATGTATGAATAGCCAGTAACAAATCCTTCTCTTAACTTCTTGTTGTTAGGAACTTCTCAAAAACAGAAGTATTTGGGCGTCTGAGGGTGTGTTGATTGAATAACTTGTTTCCGTGATGTGCGATTACAAACATCTTCCCTCAGACAGCTTGTGTTCCAAAAACTATTTGAAACTAACATGTGGCATGTGCGAGGCAAGTTTTTTGACTTTTGCAGATCCACTAGTGAAAACGGATTGCGGACAACTGTGAGAACAACATTTTTTGGCATTTTGCCGCTCCCACCGCATTAGCTCGTAATGCTTGAAAAGGAAAGTTCCGATGACGTCTTCTAAAATTCTACGAATGTTTCCTGCAGAGTGAATTTGTAAAAAAATTAAAATGTCGTGCTTGTAAGAGCGAATTCCAATTGATTTCAAACCATTTAATGGCTAAAAAAGAAGAAATAAACCTGCGTTATAGACTCATAAAAAGAGTTTCAACAAAAATTCGAAGAAAAGTGATGTCTCATTGCGCAATGTTGATTTCATCTTGAATTTTATGGGTGAAGGAAATATATTACAACTACTTCAAGTACTTCATTACATATTTGATAAGTGTGACCATTTCTGTCTAAGTGTAAAAACACATCAACGACTGAAGAGGTGTTGAAATACCGGATTATGATACGCGTTTTCAACTAATTAAACTTCTGAGAAAAATTCTTCATGATGATGTAAACTGAATAACCGTTTTTGTTAGTTGCGTAGAGATTGCTAGACAAGACCATTTTCAATTTTGGAGTGATCATCGAGGCTTTATGTTTATATTCAAAATTACAATTGTTGAAATGCTTGATACAGATTTTGAAATTGAGACGATATTTTTTGAAAGAACTCGAGAATTTGTGCACTAGTAACTAGAACGAAACGAGCTTAGGTTAGTATGACATTCTCAAGTTATAAATGACGAACCGGTTCCCCATATCTCACTACCGAAATGATTTTACATGGCCCCAGTTGTGCATTTTACATTGCATCTTCGATCCAAGTAACAACCTCAGGCGAAGCTATCTCGTAAAGCTATACAATTCCAGCTAAAGTGCAAACAAAGTAAACTTCATAACCCTTTTATTTCAACGTAATAGATGTGTTTTACTTGGTGCATTTTTTTTCTCACTTCCTTATGGTATATTTGACCCAAGATCAAGGAACTCAGGTGGCTTGACTCATTAATAGCCTTACACATGTCTCCAAGCTATCACCGCAAAGTGACTTGACGCATAACGTGCTTTTTTAAAGTCAACTGCTAGTCGGCCTTGTGACCTCATCGATCTTTTCACTGCAGGATTCCAAATCAACAAAAAGTTGTCCTGTCGCTATTTCCGCTTCAAAAAAGATGTGATTTTTGCTGTAATGTAAAATTTGCAAACGGGAAACACAGGTTGCACTTGTGCTTTCGAAAAGTGAAGTATGCTTTCACTTATTTCATCAATGAAGACAAAACTATGCGCAAACTTTGATTGATATTGGATTTGCTAGTGCCGTAGAATACAAGGGTTGATTTCATTGTTGCGCACTTTGGAAATTACGCAATCGATGTTTGTAGATGTGGAATTGTAAGGAAGAGATAATTAAGAACAATTTTTTGATGTAAAACACATTTATTTACACATACATACAGACATATCGACAATTCACTGAGAATATCTAAACTACTACGAGGTAGCCGCCGCCTCCGCCGCCGCCGCCGCCACCGCTGTAGCCGCCGCCACCACCTCCGCCTACGCCATAGCCGCCACCACCTGATGGAGGTGGTGGTGGTGGTGGTGGTGGAGCTTCGCATCCAGGACCTGCACCTCCGCCACCGCCGTAGCCTCCGCCACCAACAGGGCCGCCACCGCCGCCTCCACCATAGCCTCCGCCGCCAACAGCGCCGCCACCGCCTGCACCACCTCCACCGTCACATCCTCCAGTGACGATTTGTGGCACAACCAGGTAGATTGGCGGCGGAGCAGCGGGCGCTACTGGTGCAACCGGTGCAGCTGGTCCAACAGGAGCACCATAAGGAGCAGGAGCGGGTGCCGGAGGTGGCGGAGGAGGTGGTGGCGGTGGTGGTGGTGGCGGTGGTGGCGGTGGTGGTGGTGGTGGCGGCGGCGGAGGTGGTGGAGCATATACGGGTGGTGGTGCGACTGCGCCTCCGCCAGGACAGCCACCTCCACCTACGCCGACGCCGCCGACGCCGCCGCAGGGAGGGCAAGGAGGACATGCAGGCATCGGTGGTGGTTGTGGTGGAGCTGCAGCAGCCGCTGGACAGCAACTAAAAATAGTTGTAAAAGCTGGCAGCATAGCTATTGCATGTACAAAAAGGCTTACCAGCAACAACAACCGCCAGCTCCAGCTCCCATTCCAGGGGCACCACCTCCGAAAAGACCTCCGAGACCGCCTCCTCCTCCGAGGCCAAGTAGATTCCATAAGAATGCATTAGTACTGGTAGAGAATGCCAACAGTAGCATACATATTCTCAGCATGGTTGACTATTACTGGAGAGGGAATAGGCCTCTCGTTTGTAGTTTAGCCCTGAAACTTGTATATGAGCGTGGAAGAGGAGGAATATCGAAGCTCAGACACACCTCAAAGGATCTCTAGAAGTACGTGACAATGTTGCCACGACATGTGCGCTTAAATAGTCATAAAGGTTTCACGCAGGAGCAGGTTTTCCTAGCTGGACGAAATACCGATTCACATGGAAAGGCGAAACATTGAACGTTTTCGACCAACAGGAAGTTTATTCCAATTAGCGTATGCTCTTTTTGATGCCGCAAAGAACATGATCTCACTTCGATCTTGATAAGGAATTTTTGGAAGAAAGTAAAAGCGTTTTTTTCCGTGGTTTCATCCACAGACATGCAAAGACTCTAATCTTTGCGTAGAGTATGGTAACCTTGAATCCCAAAAAATACAGAACTGCTGTAAAACGTTTGCTGCAAGAACATCTCTATCCTAATACTTTTTCTATAAAGTGTAAATTGCGACTTGGAGAAAATTTACTTGCTTAACTCTTAATGACGTACATTCCAGATAATATAATGTACGATTTCCTGAGTCGAGAAGGAAACTAAATCTATTGGGCTGTCTTAAACTTTTTTCAGCCTTGACTTCTTGCCGTTATAAGTCAAACTCTTCCTATATTCGAGTAGTTTTCAAGGTACATTTGATAGAGCAAGGCAAGCACTAAAGGATGGCTCCTTACCATGTACATGACTCTTGACTCACATAGAGTTGAGAGTCAGAACCTGAAAAGTTTCAAATGTTCAAATTCTCAAAATCGCATCTCCTCTAGCATGGTACCTTCCAAAGCAGACATTTGTGGTACACTGACTGTATTTTTTTGACAGTGGAAATCGAGGAAACATAATGCGTTTTTACAGTTTTTACAGACTATACTTGTAAAAGTTCCTCGTTCCTCGCAAATATGTTAATATATAGCTTATTTACTTAGGAATAATTTGTGCGCTCGTAGATTCCTTAGCTCTCAGATGTCAGTTGCAAGGTGCAATATGAATAAAAAAACTGTGAGATATTCTGAAAACTCGATTTGCCTACTTAGCTGTTCAAGTGTAAAAAGCAGGTTATTGTAAAGTAATTATGTCGTCCTGCCTACATCTAAATTAGAGCTGTCAGTAATTCGCTTGCCTTCTTTGACAACAAAGTGGCAAAAGAAAATATGACATGACAGTTTTCCCTCCAGGGCATAGTGTAATGTCTCATAGACGACTTCTTTACAGCAGTGAACATCATGTCTCGGATCCTCTGTGTGTGAAGTCAAATGCTCATAAAAAGCAACATCATCATAACTGCGTCTTCGTTACGAGACAGCGTTCATATCTTAACATCGTAAACCTTGGCGCACGCAGTGCAACTGGGAGCATTCCATTCCCATATCAGTTTAACATTTTTTCATAGCTCTGCAAGACGTTATCAAAATTTCTGCAGTAGTGCATTTGTGCGTACTTTGAAAAAAGATGTAACAACCTTGAATTTTCAGTGATGAGATAATCACGACGCATGCTATGTGACCCAGACTTTAGCGAATCTGAGGCATTTTTTGTGACAACTTACTTGACCGCCAACTAGAACATCATTCTCAAAGGAAAGAGGAGAAAAATGGGTACGTTATGGAAGTGGAGACATAAATAACTTGATTACGCATCATTATTTACAAAGTTTTTTATGGTTTGTAAAATGTTCTCCAATGTTCTTCCACATTCTGTTACTTTTTTACAAACAAATACGCTAAACGGGGTGGCTAGCTGTTATAGCAAAGCTTCAAAGCTGTCACAATAAGAAATCAAAATTGACAGATTCCGTTCTTTCATCTCGATTCCTTTCGATACAATTTCTGCTAAGCGGATCTTTTCGTTTCCTTTTTTTTCTGCATTTTTTATTGAAATTTTTCTACATCAACTGTCTGAGACTGAAATTTTGGTATTTAACTGGTATTCTGGTATTTTACCTAATAAGCTCGCAGCCCGAAACACCAATTTTTTTAAGTGAATCCGACACAGTTTGACGATGTATTTCTTTAGCTAAATAAACACGAATAAAATATCTTTCCCATGAGTGTGATTATTTATTGCCTCTTCGAAATGACGGCAACTATTTTTCTTTCCATCATTTACACTAAGAATATACAGCTAACAGGATGATGGACTTTGCAAATGCATAGAAAGTCTGTTGATTGGGAAATGTCTAAGCTCAAATCAAGCGATTTAGTGCCGTTCTGAGGCACGCACAGCTAAGCTGTAGTGTTGTCTAGAGCTGAGCAGGTTTCTTCGCTAATGTGTGCATTTGCACATTTTTTCAGAATGTTGGTGGTAAAATGCAGAATTTCCAGAGAGGAGAGAATGACGATTACCTAGACTTGTTACACATAACGACCAAACTCAGATAGAACCAAGAAAAAAGGCAAAAACTATAAGGTTTGGTTCCAAAAAAAATCGGATTTGGCATGCAAATCTTAATAAAAACTTTTGTTGCTGGTTTTTATCTTTAATTCTTGAGGGAAGAGTATAAACTTCTACCACCATATATCAACTATTCGAAATTTCCTAACATTCATAAAGGACAGTCAGCCCTGCCCTAAAATGCCTGAATTTCCGAATGCTCAGCTCTTTAACTTTCTGGGCTTCATTTTCATGATGTGATGGACGTAGTGATGAGTGATCTGGTTCTGAATACACACAAGTCTTTTTTGTTTAGCAACTGCATTTTGAAAATTTTGTGATTGAAAAAAAGCGAAATTTTCTCAAATTTACGCACAATAGAAATGGGGTATCTCACTTCTTTGCTCCTTTTTTTTCATAGATTTCATTCCAGCTTCCACTGGGATGCCTCCAAGGGTTATTTATTAGACGATTCAGTATAGTCGAGGCTCATGACCGGCCTTAGCCTTGAAGAGTTGCGCGTTGATAACACTTAACATACCATATGTACTTTTTTCCATGGTTCATGCATAAGTGTAGTGACTGGTCTTGGAGTTCAAGATAGCGTTCACATACTACTCAAGCTTTCTCTCCAGACCGACTAATAGCGCTTAGATAAAAAGACTTTCCATCCTTTTTTTGTCGTGACTGGCCGCATCACGCACTAGTTTCTCCCTTTCACCTTCAATCTCCAAAACAAGTGCAGACGACGAAAGAACCTCGGTTTGGCATCAAGTTCAACAGGTAGTGTAGCATTTAGTGTATGTGTTGTAAATGATATATCAAGCTAATCACACTTCACTTACACCACTTGATCTTTTCTGGAACCTAATCCCTTTCGCCTGTGGAAAGGAAAAGTGTTTGATAGACATTAATCAAGGCGGATTCGGATTCCACAGCCAACAAAAAAGTGAAGAAGATGTATCACCAAACAATGGGCGACTTACATATATCAACGGTGCTGCCATAAAATTTATAAAATAAATGGGATTTCTTTGTGAAAGCCTTATCAATGGAACTACTTAAGACTCTGGAACTCAATAGAGAGCACTTGTCATCCGGAATTCACGTTCTTGGCTTCGGTTGGAACTATGTTTGTGCCTTGATTCTTTTTTGCTGAGGAATGGTAAACTTCAACAGATAGAGTTACCATTAAAAAACGATAGCTATAAATATTTATATAACAGGATAACATTTTCATTGCCAGCGATGCAATTTTCAACGGAAGTTATACTTTATACGTAGAAGTGTCGTATATCAATTTTTCCGAGCAATGATTCTGTGCAATAGCGGCGGTCATTAAAAAAGAAGTAATGCCAAACACTACAAGTAGCCCTGAGTTCCCGTTCCACTAAACTTTTTCTCCAATTTTCATTTTTGAAAGAGAAAAACGGGCTTTTTTACTTTATGTAATTTCATAACATTGAATTGAGGAGGTGGTGAAGAGACTGTGTCCGTTTCCGTGCTCTTCTTTCTTGGTGTCTACAATAAAAAGAATCTTCTGATATGAGTGCTGACGCAATTTAGTACAATGATGTATTCATTGATGTATAAAGTTTCCCAAAGGCTCTAAACAATTATCAAAGTCGAATAATAATATGATAATAAGCTATAATAATAATAAGCTTTTTTGACCTTCTGAACACATCTACGAAGAACCTTAAGAATATATACTACTAAGCCTATATCGCGGTATACTTGACATTGCTTATGAGAAAACTTTTATGGCAAAGTACGATTTTTGCATCTAAAGGTGGAAATCTTATAACCAGAGTCAGTATTATGCATGCCTTTTATGCAAATTCAAATTTTTAGATAGTCTGGTGTGCTTTCTCAGACCTTCCGCAGAGTCCCTAACATAATCCTACAGTAACAAAGAGCGTTCAACATTCCCTTTTGTACTGATAATCTAAGTTAAAGCGAAAATATAATTCGCACAAGTGAGCTACAACTTTCAATAAGAGTTGTTCTCAATCAAGAGGAGTGTTCATATTTTTGGGACCTTTTGTATAGTGCTTGAACACTTGCAGAGAAGTTGAGAAGATTTGTGTATTTATACGGAATATTCGAGTAGATATAGCAGACTTTCACTCTTAGAAAAGAGCTTTGATTCTGAAATTATTGTTGTAACTATCTTCCTAAAAACTGAGATGTTTTTAAGGCAAAAGTGCCACTTTTCCTTCCCTCAAAGTGTACTCGCTAGCTGTATTTTCCAATTTTGTATTACCCTTGCGAAATGAAGAAGTAATTTCTCATAGCTCGGTCATCTCCTCTTGGAACGTGATAAGCACACGGATGTAAAAGAAACGTTTCCTTCCAGACATCAATTTTTCTAATTCTTGTTCTGCTGGCTCCTTGATGTTAGTAATGAAGTTCAGTCTCACAATCTTATATCTCGGATTTGCACAATGTATCTGTTTAACCCTTGTAAGTATTCACTTGAGCAAAATCATCTATATCTGTGGGAAAGTCAGTTTTGAATAGGAAAAAGCGCTGGTCTAGTCCATCAATCATTGCCCACCATAGAGGTCATGGAACCTAAAAAATGATTCGGCGAACAGTGTAATAATTACAGAAGAGTAGGCTGTGATGC